TCTCTTGCAAGACTGAATTATTTCCTGTGTGTGTGTTGCCAATGATTTATAGAAATTATTGGAACTGTTCAAGATTAACACACTACCACCAGGAAGCATTCACTGTGGTACTGCTTTGTGAAATGTCTCTGCACATCAAGGAGGCAATTAGTACACCTCACCTGATTTCTCCTCTCCTTTTTTTTAGAAAAATGTTTTTCATTACTAATGCTATCAATGCTTTTTTATCTTTATAGACATTATAATTACTATTGTTATCAACATGACTACCAACACTATAAGATAAAAGAAAATATTTTCATCATTCAAAGAAAAGGGTGAACAGGTGAGGTAGGTAGTAGTAGTAATTGACTCATTGGTTACTAAGGACTTGAGGAGCCTTCCAAGTACAGTGGGAATGGCACATGCCATCCCTAGTGGGATGATATTAAAGATTAACTAGTATAACCTTTTCTGGTGATTAAAAAAAGAAAAAGAAGAAAACATACAAATATAAATATAAATGTAAATATACATATAAATACATATATAAACATATTTATATTATATATATATATTATATGTATATCATTTATATATATATATATATATATATATATATATATATATATATATATATATATATATATCATGTTCGTGTGTGTGTGTGTGTGTGTGTGTGTGTGTGTGTGTGTGTGTGTGTGTGTGTGTGTGTGTGTGTGTGTGTGTGTGTGTGTGTGTGTGTGTGTGTGTGCGTGTGTGCGTGTGTGCGTGTGTGCGTGTGTGCGTGTGTGCGTGTGTGCGTGTGTGCGTGTGTGCGTGTGTGCGTGTGTGCGTGTGTCTGATTGTGTGTGCGTGTGTCTGATTGTGTGGGTGTGTGTCTGATTGTGTCTGTGTGTGTCTGATTGTGTCTGTGTGTGTCTGATTGTGTCTGTGTGTGTGAGTGAGTGAGTGAGTGAGTGAGTGAGTGAGTGAGTGAGTGAGTGAGTGTGTGTGCACAAAATAAATCTAACCAAGTGATTAAATTTGCAACTAAACAGTCTATCATAAATCACTCAATTAGTGTGCCTTCCCTCTTCAACATCTCCAATGCAAAAAATCCTATGGCCAGATGTCACAAACCACAGCTGCCATGAAATCTGAACATCCTCCACCTTTCACCACCTGATCATGCAAACAGCAACGAGTACCAGGGCCGCTTGTTTACATCCCCGCGCTATCTCGGAAGGGGACGACACGATATCAATCTACCAGGAGTATCAACTAACACGCAGAATCAAACCACCCACGCATGCAAGAAGGGGTACCACACGAACTCTAATCTGCAACCCTCACTTACGTCTTTTCTAATGTCCCGTTTCTCCTTCTTCATGGCCATTTCCAGTTGCTTTTGGGCCACCTTCCGACGCTCCTCTTTTCTCTTGTGGAATCCCTTCAGATATTTCCTGCAAAAAGAGGGAGGAATAAAAAAAAATTCTTATATTCTCTCTTTTTTTTTTTTGCCTTTCCTCGTTCGTCGTTCGTGGTAATGAAAATTCTCTATAGTTCGAGTATTGGACTTTTCAAAAAGAAAAAGAGAGAGATTGTGTGCATGGAGTGTGTGTGGGTACGGTGTGTGTGTGATGTGTGTGCGTGTGCTTGTGTGTGTACATAAATATATATATATATATATATATATATATATATATATATATATATATATATATATATACATACATACACACACACACACACACACACACACACACACACACACACACACACACACACACACACACACACACACACACACACACACACACACGCACACACATATATATACATAAACATATATATATATACATATATTTATATATATATTTATATATATATATTTATATATATATTTATATCTATATTCATATTTATATATATATATACACACATAAGTATATACACACACATATACATATGTGTATGTGCACATATGTATATATAAGTATATATACATATATATACATACAAATATATACACACATATATACATATGTATGTATTTCCATGGAAAACTACAGACTACAAAACATTACACCATGAATAATTTGGTACTATTGGAAATAACGCCTAACATCTTAAAAAGACAATCTCAGCTTACCAAGTAGTAGAACACCTCATTCTATGAAAAAAAAATTTATATAATTTTCTTTGCAAATTGATAATAACAGTAATAAAAAAGGTGTAAAATCCAGGAAACGTAGCAACATGATGCCTCCAGTGCCGTGACAAAATGACAAAAAGTTGTTGAAAGCGACGGAAAGTCGGATGTATTTGTAGCGCACGATGTATACTTGAACATGACATGACCATAGGCAGTGATGTCCAGCACAACAGAACCAATCTGATATGAAATAGATCATCAAGTGACAATAGAAACTGAGCCTATGAGAAGGCAGTTGAAATTCAGATCAGTCCCATCATGGCTAGGCTGTGTGTCAGGTGTGAGAATAACTGATTCGAATTCATTGCAAAATATCATCAAAACAAAGATGTAAGTTTATTATAACTTTGAAATCATGATGTACTGCCTGTGGAAGAACTGTGCCCGAACTGTAAGACACTGTATCATTACAGAAAAGACAGACACCAGTCCATCAACAGTTCTTTGTCAAGCCCCAAAAACTGTATCCTCCACTGACTGATAGCAATCATGATTTCCACCAACAACGACCTGGAAGACAATGATGATCCCAGTGACCCCAAGCCTGGCCCGTTAAGGCAACCTGTTGGTAAAACTGTTACCGGGTATGGGCTCTCTCATGCCAGAACATATGACTTGAAGATTTGTGGACAGCCGGAAAAGGGGATTTAATGGGGTAAAGTTCCCTATATAACCTGGAAGAGAGTGGATACATTGTGCTCTCCCGTGTATTACCGATATTTCTCAAAATTTCCACCCCAAATGCCATTATATGTGTTATGTCCTCCCAAGCAATTGGGACCAATATCATAGCTATACATAGTTTAAAAAGGAATTGAGTGCTAGATTCATCTGAAACATAATGAAAACTATTGGAAAAATATTTTGTTCATCTGAAAATTGATGTTAGGCATCATTTCCAAATTCACCAATAATTTGAGCAGAAAAGAATATATTGCAAGGTTGGATAACTGTATGAAACATAAAAATTACCAACAATAAATCTAATGAAAACTTGTAACACTGAGCACTGAACGGTTATAATATGGGTATTTTTTACCGAGAGCGACTCACCCTCCTGAGATGAAGTCCCAAAACCAGGCTATCATGCGAAACCAAAATCCAATCTTAACCTTTCCTACCCTTTATTTATTCCCTAGACAGAGGGGCAAGCCCCTGTACTTCCCTTCTTAACCCCTTGCCAACAGGCATGGCATGTATGTACATGCCATGCTAATTGAGAGTTTACTTGTTTAATTGTTTTTACACATAGATGGCTACACTTGTACAAAGTCACCAGTGCGCCAGTTGCGAGTACCGCCTGTCTAACCCGTTCACCCTTTTCACTGATTTACGAAAATATATAACATTATCTTATTTTGCTGTTACAAATGTTTAAATCATTTTAGTAATTATAATGTTTAGAATAAAAATAACACCATCTATATCTATATCACAAGTAAAAATAATTTTTTTTTGATAATTCAAGGAAAGGTGAAATCCTTTATGGATAAGCACTAACAGAGCCATCTAGTAACAGGGACACTTCACAAAAATATTAAAAATAAGCACAGAATTTCCCCCAATTTTTATTCATTTTTCCCGTCGGGAAATGGTTAATAGCACTTCGTGTCTACTACAAGAAAACACAATATTAAGAACTGCATGAAGGTATTGCGGACTTAGTCTCTGAGCAGTGATATGCAGCGGATATTTTCATCATTTCATGTATATATGTACGAGGCCACTGCAGCTGTACCTGTGTTGTTTATGACACTATTATTTATGCTTAATAAGATGGCAGTGTCCATTTCCCTCTGTCTCTGTGTGTCGCTCTCTGTAACATTTACCACAATAAGTGTGTATAACGAGTGGATATTCAATTTCATCCCAAAAATACAACTTTACGAACTATAAGATATAAAATATAAATCGCCGTGGTTATTGTTCTGGCACTGGATCTCGTTTCGGAATAATAACCACGGCGATTAGAAAAAAAGCAATATATTGTCCTACGAACCTTCTGTCTGTCGGATCAAACTTAATATGCACTTTTGTCTGTCTATTTACAGCCTTCATCGGCTTTCCCTTTTTCTTCTGGTTCTTCGGTGCCATCTCGAGAGGTTTGTCTTAATTCAATAGACGGAAAAATACGATAATTATGCGATAGATTTCAGACCCGGCATCTCCCTCCCTCCAGTCACGTTGTCGTGTTTTGTTTACGTTTGAAAATGTTAACATGCCTCTTTTTTAAGGTTTTATTGTTTTGCTTGGTATAATTGTATTATTTGTTAGCATTAAAATTATTATTATTATTATTTTTTTTTTTTTTGGGGGGGGGGGATTTGTGTCATTTATAAATTTTATTTGACTTCGCGTATTTCATTTTGTTTTATTTTATTGGCTTCAGCTTTCATAATTTAATCGTTATTTGGTTGGATAACTTTTCTTTATCTATTAGGTCCTGTATTATTATATTAGATCACCTGTAGTCATATATATCTTAATCTTATATGTTTTCCATTACAAAGGATTATAAGGGTAACATACTTTTTATTCTGGCTTTTGCATTATTTTGAAAATTTTATTAAAAGAAAATATTTTAAATTAAAAAAAAATATCCAATATAACTACATTTTAAATATTTCAAAGTAAAGAATCGAAAACGTTTTTTTATACGCATTCTCTCTGAAAAGGGAAATTAAAAAAAAAATCTATATAATATCGACATACCTTGATATAATCCAGAATACCAAACTTAACATCATAAGGACTTTTAAAGAGTACTAAAAATAGGAAAAATAGGAATAGCTGCTCAAAACATCCAAAAATAGGGAGATCGTAAAAAAAATCCAATGTGTTTGGACTTGGCTTTACAATCGGCGAGAAAAAGGACGCTTGTGTCGAGACCGAGATATTTTCTCTCGTTTCGCGTCTCTTAGAGACTCTAAGAGGTAATTGCCTAGATCTTCTCTAACGGGAGAGTAATTTAAAGCAAGATAGGGTAATGAGAGGAATGGGAAATCTGTATTTAGCAGGAAAAAAAAGGTTTTGATGAAAGTCCCCGGTATCGTGTTCCCACATTTCTTGTTTGGTTTGAAATTTTATCAGTTTTTTGGGCTTTCTGTTATTCCTTTATGCTATTTTGCTTTCTTCTCCTGTCGAAATATGTTTAGGATGTTTAGTGCAATCAAAGTTATGAGGAAGATGTTGCTTAGAGTCACGGAATGCATATGTATTATTATTATTATAATTATTATTATTTATATTTTTAGTTTCTTTCGGTTATCAGATGGCTGCATTTTTTTCAGTAGACGAAGGCGCTATTTATTTATGATATTTTGCTAATGAAGTGCAAGTTGAGTTGAATTTTGCAATGGATAAATATATCTTATAGTTTTATACAACCATCCAGCCTTGCGATTTGTTACTTTCCATTTCAGTTGTTCACGATGTAATGTGTGTGAATCTGTTGCTTGTTTTCCATCCGTTCAGGAAACAACTGAAAGAATCGGCAATTGTTTATGAAGCGGCTGCATCCCCCTTGGTCCGACCCCCACTAAGGCTCCTCCAGCCAAGACCCTAGGGCACTCCTGGCGTTCCACGGACATTGTCTCGTGAACCAGAATCCCGCCCAATACGGGGACCCCCTGCCCCTTACCTGAATATCATATGGGTCTCTGACTCCCACCTGATTGCCGCGGGGGTAGTCTCCGTGTGGTATTAGTTGTGACCGATTTTCTTCAGTTTTTATGTTATTTTCTTGCCTGCGCAAATTATTTCATGTTTTATCATATTTATCAGCGAGGGTAATGAAGTTTTCCCTTTCTTAGTGCAGTTATTATGTGTGTTTATCAAAGTACTATCTGTGTGTTGCTCAACTCTTGGGGATTCTGTACAGTATGGGACACACTCACCAAACACAAAGTCCTTAACTCCAAGTCACAAAATTTATTCAACAGTCTAATGTACCATGACTGGGTATGCCCTTAGGACACTGCCAGAGGGGAGTGTTGATGGGAGCTTTGCCCTCTAACACCCTCTGGCAAATATTGTCTTCACCTTGGCAAGATAGAGCTGAAACTTGGGAGCACTGAGTGGACTTTGGCTATGATCAGCACTTACTCTGAAATTTTTCTTTTATTTGTGGCATTACTGTTCGCATCTACAGTTTATTTCTTCTACTGATGGCTGCAGCTTTTTGTCCACTACAAGAATATTATCTTCAGTCACCCCAAGCTTAGTACATCAATACTGTAAAGATTAACCCAACATTCTTAATACGAACTTGTCAACGAAAATGCTGTAGAAAAAAAAGTCATTTGCCATTTTATCCATTACAGGCAAGTTTTATCTTCTGCCATATGACTGTGTGACACTGAAACTAAACCCACTACACATAAGATAGAGCTTAGACTGGCTCTGTATTTGAAACTAACTTCCAGAAGAGTATAAAATAATGGTGGGTGATAAAATTTTACCTGCACTGTGGCATTTCCTTGACTGTGATTGTCTGAAGTTTTAGGCCATGTGAAAGTTACTCAAGATAGACCCAGCTAACCCTCAAGTTTTTCTTTTCAACTACTAGCTGTGTACTAATTTTTAACAAGCAATGCCATTTATGGGGAGGTATGGAGAAAATGTAAAAACTCAAACCACAGTTCAATCATGGAAGACCTAAATGCAATTTGTTCACACAAACAAATGAGTTAGCCCACCTAAAATGCACAAATTACTCCAGATTGTTCTATAAATCCCAAACTTTTCTAACTGAGGGGCTTCATGCCCTACCTTATTTCCTTAGCCAGTGGCTCTACTCCTGATCTCCTACCCATTGTTGGTATATCCCTAGCTGGGGGCTGTGTGGCTGGACTCCTTTCTGGTTGCTGTATTTCTCTTGCTAGGGCCTCATACATTTCATACATATTAGTTGGGTCTTTCATATTATGAAGGGTAAAGGTCTTCCGTGGCTAGGAAGACTTGGAATCTTTGGTTTCCAGTGAATAGGTGGAAAATGTTTATTGTACTTCACAGATTTAGTATTTTCCCTCAGATTATCACAATTTCATTAAAAGTTCATTTTTGACAGAATGTTGTATAAGAATGAACAGTATATATTTACATAATACATTATGATAGTTAAAATCTGAGGTTATTGTCACAAAGAGAGGGGAGGGAAAACATACTGATGCATAAAATAATGGCCCCAGGAAGAGGATAATGTCAGAAACATAAGTGAGCAAATGCCTCAAGGAGGTGGTGATTAGGTGGGGTTCTTAGGGTAAAGCCCCTGGATTAGAAAGGTTTTGGGATCATACAGCCATGGTTGTGGTTTTCCAGGAGTGCCCCAAAGGATGTTGATTATAGTTGTAGGGACTTGGTCTCAGAGGAGTGTGGTTACTACAGAAACAGTTATTGGATTACTGTTAACAAACTTCACACTTGATGGATTTGCATGTGTTATATACAGATGTAACAAGCATTCCTGAGAAAAAGAAATAGGTGCATAGGATTTAATCTGCATAGCATTTTTTTAAACCTATCATCATCATCATCAACTTTGATAGTGAAGAAATTTTCATATACAAGGGATTGTAGTTTATTTCTCTTTTCATGGCAATGTCTTTAGCTTTTGCTTATATAGGTCTGTCATTATTTAAACATATACCAAATATTGTGTCATCTGAAAGCCTCGTTCCTACTGAAGGACATCAGGACGAGCAGGTCCTCATCAGTGTTCCTGTGTAGATCCTTGTTGTTTATCCTAGATGTTGCCACATAGTTATTATACAGCCCTTGTCATGATGGATATTTCTTTAGGTCATATTTTCTGTTGAATTGTTATATTTTAGTGCCATATACTTGAGAGAGCTTAGTAAATAGAAGGATAGTAGAAAATAATAACTTAAAGTTAGCATGGTGTACCTGGAGCAAGTGATTTTCCTAGTTGTGCAGTGGTTGCCATAAAACATTTGTTGTGATGGAATATTTGTTTGGATAAAAGTCTATAATATCCATCACAGACTAAGACCTCAGTTTGAAAGAATGAATCACATCATTATAGCACAAACTACTGCATTAATCACTATATGAACCAAAATCCTTCAGACATTCTGTGAGTAGACATATTTTGACACACTTACTAGAGGGAGATGAAACAACCATTTTTATTAGCTGGTTGTAATGACATTTGGTTATTGTTATTTATGATAGCTATATATTTAATTTGCAATTAGGATTGGATATGTTAGATGATCTAGTAGTTCCTTGTACAATTAAAGGGAAAATCTAAGGTTTTCCAAAAATATGAGGGTAAAATGTTTACATTTTTGTAGCTAGTTAGTGAAAGACCAGAGGAAAATGCTTACCAGCAACTCAAGCATATTCTGGACTGATTCTGTATGTGATAATAAATCACTAGGGAGGCCTAAAAGTTATATGTTCTATATGGCTGGAATATATAACCAAGTTGTTTGGTCTTTGCCAGGGCACCAAATGCTTGCAAGTCATGCATTGCTAAAGTTACAATAGTTCTTTACCATATGGATGCACTTGTAACAAACAAAGTCCTCAGCAAATATTTTCTTCACCTCTGTATGCTAGTCAAGATGGAGCTGAAACTCAGGAGCACCAAGGAGACTTAGGCCGAGAGCCATATTGTCCTTGATTTTTCAGATTTATTTATTGTTTTACCTTTCATGTCTGCAGATTATTTCTGTACTGATGACTGCAACTTTTTGTCCTCTATAAGAATATCCAAGCTTAGTGCATCTATACCATGAAGATTAACCAAATTTAACTTTAGACTAGCCATCACAGATCTCAGTAAGTATCAAGTGGGTTTAGATTGAATTAAAAATTCCCGTTTTGTAAGGTATGTGGTTGAAATTTCTGTGTGGCTGAAGGAAGCTTGCCAAACAAATATTTTAGTGAACACTGCATACATCTGGTTCGTAACAAAAAGTGGCACAAGAGAAAATAAAGCCAATTTTTGATGGGCATTCCTCATTTGTGGCAAATAGAGCTTTAGCAGTTAAGGGTTAGTCACAGCTTCCAGCAGCTATTTTGATAAATGGTGAATTTGCCTTTCTTGATTGGGATTATATAATCTTGTGTAAAATTAAATTAGATTGAAGTGCTGTAATCCTTTTCTTTCTTTTCAGATTGCAGGCACCATGTCTATGTCTGGTGCTGAATACTTGGCCTCCATCTATGGCACAGAGAAGGATAAGGTCAACTGTTCATTTTACATCAAGACTGGAGCTTGTCGTCACAGTGAAAGATGTTCCAGAAAGCACAACAAACCACAGTACAGGTGGGTGTTATTGGTTTTGTTTTCTTACATTTGATAATACAATTGTGTGTTCCCCCTTCCCTCATTTTATTTTGACTTGTTGATGTCTCGTATAATAATTTTTTTTTTTTTTTTTCAAGTTCCCTGTTTATTATGAAAATAAGCACTTGTTTTGCTTGGTCTCTAAATTTTGAAAGATTCATGTGTTTTATAAGAAAGTATTGTTCATTGTTGTTATCAATATTGATGGAATCCCTTGCCCCTATTCCCTACAGCCAAACAGTGGTGATGCAGAACATGTACGTGAGCCAGCAGAACTCCGCCAAGTCAGCTGATGGATCTCATTTGGCCAACATGAGTGACCATGAGATCCAGGAACAGTTTGAGTATTTCTTTGAGGACGTGTTCTTCGAATGTGAGGACAAGTATGGAGAGATTGAGGAGATGTGCGTGTGCGATAATCAGTGTGACCACCTGAGAGGCAATGTGTACATCAAGTTCCGGCGGGAGGAAGATGCGGTGAAGGCAGCAGAGGACCTCAACAACCGCTGGTACATGTTCCGACCTATCTATTGTGACCTGTGTCCTGTGGCTGATTTCCGTGAGGCCTGCTGCCGCCAGTTTGAAATGGGCCAGTGTGGTAAGGGTGGATTCTGCAACTTCTGGCATGTCAAGCCCATTTCACACCACCTCAAGAACTTACTGGCGCGTTCCTCCAGGTCCCGTTACAGGTACCGGTCCAGGTCACGCTCCAGGTCTCGCGACAGGCATGACAAGCACGGCCCTGAGAAACACAGGAGGAGGTCTCGCTCGCGCTCTCGTGACCGTGACCGCCGAGACCGCAGAGGCAGATACTGAGGGGCCTACACTGATGTCTTTTAATATTCATGCTGTTGTTTGCCTCTTCATTTTTTTTCATTTTTTCTTT